GTCAACAGTTTGATAAACTCGAGTACATATGTATCTGTTCAATACACTTTTATATCAGATGAATTCACTTGAAGTTTTGGCCTTGATGTTTACTTCTGTTTGACCTGGTCCACATTGTTCTTCTGCTGTTCGTCCTGCAGCTGTGAGATCTGACACTTTAACCAACCGACACAGAGACGCACAAACCAACAGACCAAACAAAACACAAGAACAGAGTCAATCAAACTCTGATGTGTGTAAAATCCCTCAGTCGTTCAGGTAGAATTTCATAAGAACATTACTGACATTAAAAGAATTCATTTTCCTTAAAGAACAGTTTTTGCAGATGGCATCAGTGTTTGATTCAAAGCGTCGAACTCGGTCAGTAATCGTGTGGAGATGTTTCTGTTGAGAGTGTTGAGTGTTTGAGGGAGTCAGAGCTCGTCGTCCGTGTGACCGAGGGAACGATTCAGTCTTTAAAAGTCTCATTTACATTTAGAAAAAGTCCAGACTGTTTCTTTTGTGTATGTGTGTGTGTGTGTCTGTGTGTGTGTCTGTGTGTGTGTGTCTGTGTGTGTGTGTGTGTGTGTGTGTGTGTGTGTCTGTGTGTGTGTGTGTGTGTGTGTGTGTGTGTGTGTGTGTGTGTGTGTGTGTGTGTGTGTGTGTGTGTGTGTGTGTGTGTGTGTGTGTGTGTGTGTGTGTGTGTGTGTGTGTGTGTGTGTGTGTGTGTGTGTGTGTGTGTGTGTGTGTGTGTGTGTGTGTGTGTGTGTGTGTGTGTCTGTGTGTGTGTCTGTGTGTGTGTGTGTGTGTGTGTGTGTGTGTGTGTGTGTGTGTGTGTGTGTGTGTGTGTGTGTGTGTGTGTGTGTGTGTGTGTGTGTGTGTGTGTGTGTGTGTGTGTGTGTGTGTGTGTGTGTGTGTGTGTGTGTGTGTGTGTGTGTGTGTGTGTGTGTGTGTGTGTGTGTGTGTCTGTGTGTGTGTGTGTGTGTGTGTGTGTGTGTGTGTGTGTGTGTGTGTGTGTGTGTGTGTGTGTGTGTGTGTGTGTGTGTGTGTGTGTGTGTGTGTGTGTGTGTGTGTGTGTGTGTGTGTGTGTGTGTGTGTGTGTGTGTGTGTGTGTGTGTGTGTGTGTGTGTGTGTGTGTGTGTGTCTGTGTGTGTGTGTGTGTGTGTGTGTGTGTGTGTGTGTGTGTGTGTGTGTGTGTGTGTGTGTGTGTGTGTGTGTGTGTGTGTGTGTGTGTGCTGTAGTGTGTGTGTGTGTGTGTGTGTATGTGTGTGTGTGTGTGTGTGTGTGTGTGTGTCTGTGTGTGTGTCTGTGTGTGTGTGTGTGTGTGTATGTGTGTGTGTGTGTGTGTGTGTGTGTGTGTGTGTGTGTGGTGTCAGAGCCGGAGCACGAGTTCCAGCGGTCGGACTGTGACATGTGACGACGTCTGACCCACATCCACAGCACAGACTCACCGCTGCCCCCTCAGGACACCACAGGAACTGCACCACACACTGAAACTCTCTGTTTCTCAAAAAAAAAAACTGTGGAAATGGATTTAAGTCCAGAATCCTGAAGCACTGAAATATTCTGTGTCCAGGTCAGAAAACTGTGTCCTGATACTTTGACATAAAGATGGACTCGTGTTTCTTTCATAAACACAGTTTTATTACTGATATTTATTCAACGACTCAAATTAAGAAGAAAAATAATTCAAACATCTTTTTTTAGAGTTAAAAAATTCAAAGTGAGAAATTCAACAGCGTTTAAAATTCACACAAAAACAATAAATAGTTAAATTAAAATAACTTAAATTAAAAACATTAGACTTTTATTTGAGTCGATTCAACTTGACAAATAAAATGATCCAACAAATGGAATAAAAGTGTTTTTCTTAATTTAATATAATAATAATTTTCTTTATTTGATTTTGTTTCTTATTTTAAGTGCAAATTTTTTTTTAAAGTTTTTTTTAGTTTTTTTCTTATTTTAAAAAGGTGTTTTTTTCTTATTTTAAGTGCAGAAAGTAGTTTAAATATACATACATACATATATATATATATATATATATATATATATATATATATATATATATATATGTATATATATATAATTTTAAGTGTAAAAAGTTGTTGTGTTTCTTATTTTGTGCACTCAGATGTATTTTCATATTTTCAGTACAAAAGCAGATTATTTTACTCAAGTGAAATTGACTCAAATCCTGATCAAACTTAAAAAGTCATTTGAACTTAACTAGATTTTGGTTTTTGTGTTTGTGTAAAATTTAATGGGACAAAATTTCTTCCGTACAAGTGCAAATATCATCCAAACAATTTATCAAACCAAACCAAAGCACAGAGCTCTGTCCTCTGTCTCTGTCGGTTTGAGCTCCCTTCATGCTCTGTGCTCCCGGTCTGTGCTGATGTGGTCAGGAGTAGAGACGGGCATTCGATGAAATTTTCTTAATCGATCGTCGGAAGAATTATCGATATAATCGATTATCGATTAATCACTAATGTTTTTATATTAAAATGATCATCATTATTATTACTATCTGCATTAATCTGCATCAATAAATTCAACTTTACGACATATAAACATAACGACTCTAGATCCACATCAGCTGTTTGACATTATAATGTGTTTAATTCAGTTTTGTTCAAATCTCACACAAACAAAACTTAAAACCACATCACTAATTTACATAAACTAAGTGAAGATAAAACTCCAGCTCTTGTGTCGCTGATGTGGTTCAACTTGTGTTGGATTAAAAGACATGACTCAGGTGAATACAGGTCAGTGTGACCAGATTTGTGTTTGTCAAAACCAGGACAGCGTACGGGGGGAGGGGGGCGGGGCCTCGTCATCCACATTGAGCGACTCTCACCTGGAAAAACTTTTTCCCACTGGACACAGAAACATATGTGCTGCTTTATCCACTGTGCACATGGACTCACACTTGTCCCAACGCAACGGAAAGTGTGGAATTTCTTCTACAAATCCTGGTTAAATCCACATTTGTGCTTCGGTTCGTTACAGACTGACCCACTGTTTGTGTCTCGCTCCTTCTGATGCAGAGACACATGTACACACCTGTTTGGTCACGACACACAAACATACATTCAGTTTGTCCATTAAAATTTACGTAATCGATGAAACTCTTAATGATCAATTATCGATTAATCGATTAATCCTGCCCATCCCTAGTCAGGAGCGCCCCTGTCGCCACCGCGGACCAGAAACTCGAAAGAGACAAAATACAAGACACGAGACAGGAGACAGGGAAAAGGTTAAAGACAAAAAAGCAAAGACTTTGACGTGAAGGGATGTTGATGTTGAGAGTCGGACGTTCACGAGGAGCAGAGGCTCCGCCCACACACTCACACTCGTCTGTGTCCGCAGCTGGACTCTGACTCTGGCTCTTTTGTTTGGCTCATGTGGCTCTTGCTGCTGCTCTGAGCCTCGGGATTCTGGTCTTAAATATTCGTACGAACTCTGTTCTGTTTTTTTTCGTCTTTAATCTCGTCGTCTTAACCTGGACTGTGGCTCCAGATCCTCGTCTGAGCTCGTCCTTCACGAATGACATCATCTGGTCCTGGAGTCACCTTCAGCGTCGTGTTGTTTGTGAAACGTCTGAACAGAAAATGGCTCCTGTTCATTTCCACGGAGACGTCACTGCTCTGTCTGGAATGTCCCACAGTGTGACTTTAAACGGCTCCACTTTACATTTATTCAATCACAGGAGGATTTAGAATCAAAAACACCTGGACAATATTTTTTATTCAGTGAGTAATAAACACGACACTAGTAATAATTTCTAGATCATTGTTTTAAACTTGGACTGAATCAAAGGGTTAATAAAATGAAATGGAAATGGACCAATCACAGTTTTTCTTCCAGTTGTATCTGGGTAAAACAGTGACTCCCCCTGAAGCGCTGAACTAAACAAACACCTGCAGGAGCTTCTGCAGCTGGAATGAAGTTTGAGATTGACAGTTGTCTGAGCCAATCAGATTTCATTGAGTTATGGGCGGGATCAGATCACTAAATCTTCCGGACCTTCGTGAAAACCCTGTGATAGTTTTATGTAAGTGAGACCACAGCGACGAAAACCTCACTGGACACTTCTGTTTGGACGAGAAGAACGAGAAAAACCCTTGAACCAGAGCTCGCAGAAGCTCAGAGTCCACGACTGGTCCGGTCCAGAGGCTCGGACACGTTGCATCTCACGTGGTCAGAAAAAAAGTGAAATAATTGTAAAGAAAAGATGTTAAACTTAAAGAAACATGGTGGAGTTTTTTAAAATAAAAGCCAGTGAGCAACAGACATTTACAATAAAATAATAATAATAAAAACTGTATTAATGGTGTTAAAATAATTGTCTCGATAATCAATGAATTATTTAACGCAAAATTAACGAGTTAACCTGCCTGGGCCTAATTTTTATATCTGTAAAATGTATATTAATAATAATGTTTGATGTTTTTATGTTAATTGTCTGATTTTTGTATTTGTTCTCTTTAAATTCATGCCAACAAAATAATCACATGAACAATAAATAAATAATATATTTTAAAGTAAAGTCCTGTAAACTGATGTCAGACTGGTGAAAGTGTGAAGGTTTTGTCTGACGAGCGTCTGGTGTCCAAACGTTGTGGACGGTCAAATTAAATTGATCATTTGTGATTGATTGATTGATTGATTACATTTACACGGCGCCTTTCAACATCCCAAAGCTCTTTACACTTCATTCTTCAGTCACTCCACACTCAGTGGTGTAAACCACAACTGTAGCCACAGCTGCCCTGGGGCAGACTGACTGAAGCGAGGCTGCCAACCTGCACCATCGCCTCCTCCGACCACCACCATCTCTCACACACACACACACACACACACACACACACACACACACACACACACACACACACACACACACACACACACACACACACACACCTCTTTCATACTAGGCAATGTGGGTGAAGTGTCTTGCCTAAGGACACAACTACAGTTTTTTGCCACTGGTGCAGTGTGAGAAAAACAGTGTTCTGGATTCTTCTCTGTTTGTATTTTTGAGCTGCTCCTCACAGCCCAAACACACGTCGTTTTCAACAAACTGATGTAGAAGTTTTTGTTTTTTTAAACCCTGAAAGTGTCAAATGATCCAAACGTGTTTGAGTCTCACAGATCATCACATCCACTGGAATAAACATGTATTTATACTTTATACTTCTGCTTTAATACACACGTGTTTATACCTCTGTATGACCTCTGTGTGACCTTGTGTGACCTCTGTGTTTGACCTCTGTGTGACCCTCTGTGTGACCCTCTGTGTGACCTGTGTGTGACCCTGTGTGACCCTCTGTGACCCTCTGTGTGTGACCCTCTGTGTTTGACCTCTGTGTGCGACCCTCTGTGTGTGACCTCTGTGTGTGACCTCTGTGTGTGACCTCTGTGTGACCTCTGTGTGACCTCTGTGTGACCCTCTGTGTGACCTCTGTGTGACCCTGTGTGACCCTCTGTGTGACCCTCTGTGTGACCCTCTGTGTGACCTCTGTGTGTGACCTCTGTGTGTTGTGTGTGACCTCTGTGTGACCCTTGTGTGTGACCTCTGTGTGACCTCTGTGTGTGACCTCTGTGTGACCCTCTGTGTGTGACCCTCTGTGTTTGACCTCTGTGTGCGACCCTCTGTGTGACCTCTGTGTGACCTCTGTGTGACCTCTGTGTGTGACCTCTGTGTGACCTCTGTGTGACCTCTGTGTGACCTCTGTGACCTCTGTGTGACCTCTGTGTGACCTCTGTGTGTGACCTCTGTGTGACCTCTGTGTGACCTCTGTGTGACCTCTGTGTGACCTCTGTGCAGGACGAGGAGGAGGAGATCAAGCTGGAGATCAACATGCTGAAGAAATATTCTCACCACAGGAACATCGCCACCTACTACGGAGCTTTTATCAAGAAGAGTCCCCCAGGACACGACGACCAACTCTGGGTGAGTCTACTGCCCCCTACTGCCCCCTACTGCCCCCTACTGCCTCCTACTGCCGCCTACTGCCCCCTACTGCCCCCTACTGCCTCCTACTGCCTCCTACTGCCTCCTACTGCCCCCTACTGCCTACTGCCCCCTACTGCCCCTACTGCTGCCTACCTACTGCCTCCTACTGCCCCTACTACTGCCTACCTACTGCCTCCTACTGCCCCTACTGCCTCCTACTGCCTCCCTACTGCCCCTACTACTGCCTACTGCCCCCTACTGCCCCTACTGCCCCCTACTGCCCCTACTGCCCCTACTGCCCTACTGCTACTGCCTACTGCCTCCTACTGCCTCCTACTGCCCCCCTACTGCCCCCTACTGCCTCTGCCTACTGCCTCCTACTGCCTCCTACTGCCCCCTACTGCCCCTACTGCCTCTACTGCCCCCTACTGCCTCCTACTGCCCCCTACTGCCCCCTACTGCCTCCCTACTGCCTCCTACTGCCCCTACTGCCCCTACTGCCTACTGCCTACCTACTGCCTCCTACTGCCTCCTACTGCCCCCTGCAGGACGCACTACTGCCTCCTACTGTCTCCTACTGTCTCCTACTGCCCCTACTGCCCCCTACTGCCTCCTACTGCCCCCTACTACTGCCTCCTACTGCCTCCTACTGCCTCCTACTGCCCCTACTGCCTCCTACTGCCTCCTACTGCCTCCTACTGCCCCTACTGCACTGGACGCACTACTGCCTCCTACTGTCTCCTACTGCCCTCCTACTGCCCCCTACTGCCCCTACTGCCTCCTACTGCCCCCTACTGCCCCCTACTGCCCCTTACTGCCCCCTACTGCCTACCTACTGCCCCTACTGCCTCCTACTGCCCCTACTGCCCCCTACTGCCCCTACTGCCCCCTACTGCCTCTCCTACTGTCTCCTACTGCCCCCTACTGCCCCCTACTGCCTCCTACTGCCCCCTACTGCCCCTACTGCCTCCTACTGCCTCCTACTGCCCCCTACTGCCCCCTACTACTGCCTCCTACTGCCCCTACTGCCTCCTACTGCCCCCTACTGCCTCCTACTGCCTCCCTACTGCTCCTACTGCCTCCTACTGCCCCCTACTGCCTCCTACTGCCCCCTACTGCCCCTACTGCCCTACTGCCCCTACTGCCTCCTACTGCCTTAACTGCCTCTGAAACAAACTTTAAATCAGACTTTGTGACGTCGTCCATAAACACAGATCTGTTTTGTGACACACTGGACACATTTACGTGATGTTTGTTTTTTTTATTCCAAATTAAATTGTTCTGAATTCAAATCTTCTCCGTGGAGTTTACGTGGGAATAATCTTTCTGAATTGAGGTTTACGTGGACAGGGCTGGTGGAGCCGGATCGTCCGGATCAACGCATGAGAAACACCAGCAGCATTTTAACAACAACAAACCACAAACAAGCAGTGAGGGGAAGTTTACTTTTAAAATGTAATCCCCTACAGATTACAGATTACAGATTACACACCCCAAAATGTAGTTTGTAACAGAATCCATTAAATTACTTAAAGTGAGTAATGTAATCTGATTACTTTGGATTACTTGATTTGCTGTAGAGAAACAAAGACGAGGAAATCTTCACATAAGAAGTTTTGTCTGATAAAAGAAAATAAAAAGTCCAAATTTTACTGAACCAAATTAAAAATATTATTGATAGAAAATGAAGAAACACGTCCACACAGCAGGATTTAGTCCTGTTAAATCCTGTTTTAGTCCTGGTTTTAGACCTGGTTTAGTCCTAGTTTAGACCTAGTTTAGACCTGGTTTAGTCCTGGTTTGGACTTGGTTTAGACCTGGTTTAGTCCTGGTTTAGACCTGGTTTAGACCTGGTTTAGTCCTGGTTTAGACCTGGTTTAGACCTGGTTTAGTCCTGGTTTTAGACCTAATTTAGTTTCCGGCAATGAGTGAAATTACTGAAAAAAAAAAAAAAAGGGAATGGCCCAAAATGTGAAAACAGGATAATCCCTCTGTGTAATCCATTTATTTCAACAAAGTAACTGTAATCCAATTACCACTCACTGAAACAGTAACTGTAACTGAATACAGTTACTCATCATTTGTACTCTGATTACTCCGGTACATGTAATCTGTTACTCCAACTCTGTGTGGACGTGGACTGGAGGTCTGAGGACACATGGAGCTCGTCTCCCTCGTGGACTCAGAGGTGCGGCTCCTGAGACATTTCACACTGAAGTCTTAAAGTTCAGATGAGTCCAGCATAACGACGGAGCCTCAGTGAAACCCGAGGAGACGCTCAGGGGACGTGTCCTCGCAGAGACGCCTCCACGCGAGCTTCAGGGACGTGTCCTCGCAGAGACGCCTCCACGCGAGCTTCAGGGACGTGTCCTCGCAGAGACGCGTCCACGCGAGCTTCAGGGACGTGTCCTCGCAGAGACGCGTCCACGCGAGCTTCACGGACGTGTCCTCGCAGAGACGCGTCCACGCGAGCTTCAGGGACGTGTCCTCGCAGAGACGCGTCCACGCGAGCTTCACGGACGTGTCCTCGCAGAGACGCGTCCACGCGAGCTTCACGGACGTGTCCTCGCAGAGACGCGTCCACGCGAGCTTCACGGACGTGTCCTCGCAGAGACGCGTCCACGCGAGCTTCACGGACGTGTCCTCGCAGAGACGCGTCCACGCGAGCTTCAGGGACGTGTCCTCGCAGAGACGCGTCCACGCGAGCTTCACGGACGTGTCCTCGCAGAGACGCGTCCACGCGAGCTTCAGGGACGTGTCCTCGCAGAGACGCGTCCACGCGAGCTTCAGGGACGTGTCCTCGCAGAGACGCGTCCACGCGAGCTTCACGGACGTGTCCTCGCAGAGACGCGTCCACGCGAGCTTCAGGGACGTGTCCTCGCAGAGACGCGTCCACGCGAGCTTCAGGGACGTGTCCTCGCAGAGACGCGTCCACGCGAGCTTCAGGGACGTGTCCTCGCAGGACACGTCCACACGAGCTTCAGGGAGATCTGCACTTCCTGTTGTGCAGCTCAAACTCTCACCTTGTTGAACTAGACAATATTTATCACAACGACAAAACTCCACCACGAACCACAACACGCCCCGTCAGAGAACTTTTTTACACCTTTACGTTTCCATCTTTGTGTTTCCATCTTTATGTTTCGAAATGTCAAATCCAGCAGAAGCAGAGAGTTTCCTGCTCCACTGTTGTAGGTCACGTTTACACTGAAATAAATCACAGAATCAGAAACAATTTATGTCCAGACACATGACTCATTTGCATAAACTAAGCCTAAAAAAAAACCAGCTCTTTTTTGTGCACTGACTCAGTTCAACTTCTGTCGTGCTCTAGTGAGTAATTGTAGCCCTGCTGTTTCCCTCTGGTTTGTTTAAACTGTTTTCCACAATATCGTCACATGACGATGTCACGACCCCAGAGAATCATTAGGAGCGAGTCACAGTGTCGTGTCCAATCAGGACGAGACTCCAGCTCCTACATCAGAGGATCAGAGTTTTCAGGAGTCCCACAGTCCCCGTCACATCTGGACCAACATGAACTCGTGGAGCTGGAGGCACCAGATCGTTCAGACTCTGGAGACATTTAACATCAGATTAATGTGAACGAACCCTGTACACACAACAACACCACTCACATAAACACTAGTGTGAACAGGACTGTAGTCAGAACCGTGTGTGTCAGTATAATTGGACTGACAAATGTTCCGTGTTGTCTGACAAACTGTGATCAGTGTGTTAATATTTTTATTTTCTTTGTAATTAATTAATTAGAATTAACCCTCCCCTGGTTTTAATTAATGTATTCTAATGTCTCTGTGTGTGTGTGTGTGTGTGTGTGTGTGTGTCTCTGTGTGTGTGTGTGTGTGTGTGTGTGTTTCTGTGTGTGTGTGTAGTTGGTGATGGAGTTTTGTGGAGCTGGTTCCATCACAGACCTGGTGAAGAACACTAAAGGAAACTCTCTGAAGGAAGACTGGATCGCCTACATCTCCAGAGAAATCCTCAGGGTGAGTCCGAGTGTGTGTGTGTGTGTGTGTGTGTGTGTGAGTGTGTGTGTGTGTGTGTGTGTGTGTGAGTGTGTGTGTGTGTGAGTGTGTGTGTTAAAGTCTGTTCTAAGAAATAAACATGGATAATAAATCATAAGTGACCATTTTAATTAAGTAAAGAATACAATAAAAATCTAAAGTAAATCAAAGTTCAGTTACACTTAACTCTTCCAGACCTGAGGGCAGTTTTAGTACATTTGTCCTCGCCTGGATTTTTTCTCCTAATTTTGCTTTTAAAACTCGCTCTTTTACCCCTAATGAAGTGTTCTACGCCCTTTTTTCACTACAACCTGTTATTTCACAATCTGCTGCTGGAGTCGTGTCATGTGGCTGAAATAAAAACTACAGGACCAGAAATACACATGAAAAAAACGTTCATACAAAACACACACCAACACGTAGAAACAACCTTTTGGACATTAAAAAAAAAAGTTAAATTTCGGGCCTTAGCTACAAAAGTGCAAAATATCAATTGTGCAAATAAACTCAAAATCTCCTTATCGCCTCAAAAAAAAAACAAAAAAAAGTGCAAATAAAAATAACAAGACATGCACAATTACACAGACTAACATGTGTCATTTGTCCATTTATTTGAGAAATTTCTGCACTTAGAGCGACTTTTTCACTTGTTCTGAACACAGACGCTCAGAACATCGACCGTTTTGACTCACTACACTCTTTGACAAAGTCTGGACCAATCAAAATGGACGGAGTGTTCTTATTGGACACACCCCCAGGACCTGCCCCCAACTCCAACTTAATCTGAGCGGCGTATGACGACGGCCGCTGGACGTGTGTGTGACTCTGCTGCTGTACACTGTGTGTGTTTTACAAACCAGTGCTCGGGACGAAGGAAAGTTACACAAAAAAGATGTGATGTAAATTAAAAGTAAATGTCAGTACAATAACAGAAAAAAAATGTTTATTAACTCAGAAATTCCCAATACAAATGTTATAGCCGTGGTAATAAAAGTAGGGAGCCGGTGTGATGCAGTTTACTTTTATTTATTTAACATTTAATGAGTTCGGGGAAAAGGAAGTGACCAGAAACAAAAGAACAAAAACAAACTAAAGGACAACAGGGACAATGGTTAAACTGTAAAACACAAAAAAAAATCCCAAATTACAAAAAAAACACAGACAGGCTTGATAAATTGTAATAACTTTAAAATGATTAAAAAGTTTATCTAAATGTGTCGTAAGGCTCACACACACAACTCAACTATATCTATGTGCAATTATTTTTAAGTCTATTTTTTAATTATTTTTAAGCCATTATTTATTATCAGTTTTATTGTATGTTACCTTTTTCCTGCTGTTCTTGAATTGCGCGTTGCAACACTGGAATTTCCCCACGGTGGGACTAATAAAGGCATATTTTATCTTATCTTATCTTAGTTCCTCGTAGAACCGCTCAGTTTTTTTAAAAACAGCACGGCCGCCCCAACACACAACAATGAAATTAAAAAATGCACAGTCTCATTCATCTTCGCACACAAACTATTTAAAAAGTGACGCCCCGAGGTACCTCCTGCTACACAAAAATGATAACTAAGCCTAAATCTCAGTTCTAAGTATATAAAATGAAATAAAAGAAAATGCAAATGCCGAATTGTCAGTTACAAAACGACAGGCGCTCTATACTGACCTCTAATGTCTCACATAAGAATTACACAAATAAATCAGAGACACGTCTAGTGCTGATTTGGGTTAAACTGGCTCTGTGGTCCAGCCGCCAGCACGAAGAGGCACACGGGACTTTTACTGGGCGAGATGTTGGTGGGTCAGTCCTCCAACCACAGCACCACAGAAACCGGAGCCCAGCAGAGACAAAAACAGAACCATACCCAGGGAGCACACAGAACACGCAGGTACTGAAAAGACACAAACGCTAAAACAAACACAGGGAGCACAGGGCGAAGAGGAACCAGGCTGCGAGTCCTAACAGTGTGACCGGTTCAAATGTGGAGTGGGTGTGTGTGTGTGTGTGTGTGTGTGTGTGTGTGTGTGTGTGTGTGTGTGTGTGTGCGCTGCTGCTTCTGCTTTAGTGTGAACTGGGGGGAACTAAATCTAAACTTGTTTCACCTGAGATAAATCAAAGTGATTCTCTAAAAATCTGAACAGACTCATGACACTCCTCTAGTGGACGGTTATTATTATTACACTTTGTTTGTAAAATTGGTGTCTGACTCCTCCTCCTCCTCTTCTTCCTCCTCTTCTTCATCCTCTTCGTCTTCTTCTTCAGGGTCTGGCTCACCTTCACGCTCATCACGTCATCCACAGAGACATCAAGGGTCAGAACGTCCTGCTGACCGAGAACGCAGAGGTCAAACTGGTACACACACACACACACATGGTGTACACGTGTGTGTTGTTGTGTGTAACTTGTGTGTGTGTGTGTGTGTGTGTTAACTGTGTGTGTGTGTGTGTGTTGTGTGTAATTGTGTGTGTGTTGTGTGTAACTGTGTGTGGTGTGTGTAATTGTGTGTGTGTTGTGTGTAATTGTGTGTGTGTTCCAGTGGACTTCGGGGTGAGTGCTCAGTTGGATCGGACCGTCGGTCGGAGAAACACATTTATTGGGACTCCGTACTGGATGGCTCCTGAAGTCATCGCCTGCGACGAGAATCCAGACGCTACGTACGACTACAGGGTGAGGACTCCAGTACACACTGAAGTAACAGTACACACTGTGTGTGTAGTAACAGTACACACTGTGTGTAGTAGCGTTACACATACAGTGTGTGTAGTAACAGTACACAGTGTGTGTAGTAGTAGTGTGTATTTGGAGTGTGACTGTGTGTGTTGTGTTTTCAGAGTGACTTGTGGTCCTGTGGAATCACAGCGATAGAAATGGCCGAGGGAGCCCCACGTGAGTCTGACTCTCTGTACATGCACACTTTACACACACACACACTTTACACACACACACACACACACACACACTTTACACACACATGTCACACACACATGTTACTCACACATGTTACACACACATGTCACACACACGTTACACACATATGTTACACACACATGTCACACATGTTACACACACGTCACACACACGTTACACACACATGTTACACACATGTCACACACACGTTACACACACATGTCACACACACATGTTACACACACATGTCACACACACGTTACACACACACACATGTCACACACACGTTACACACACATGTCACACACACATGTCACACACACGTTACACACACGTCACACACACATGTTACACACACATGTCACACACACGTTACACACATGTCACACACACACGTTACACACACATGTTGCACACATGTTACACACATGTTTCACACATGGTGCACACATGTCACACACACACGTTACACACACATGTCACACACACGTTACACACACATGTCACACACACATGTTGCACACACGTTACACACACATGTTGCACACATGTTACACACATGTTGCACACATGTCACACACACACACGTTACACACACATGTCACACACACGTTACACACACATGTCACACACACATGTCACACACACGTTACACACACATGTCACACACACGTTGCACACATGTCACACACACACACGTTACACACACATGTTGCACACATGTTACACACATGTTGCACACATGTTACACACATGTTACACACACATGTCACACACACATGTTACACACATGTCACACACATGTCACACACACGTTACACACACATGTTACACACATGTTACACACATGTTTCACACATGTCACACACATGTCACACACACGTTACACACACATGTTTCACACATGTTATCACTACAGAGCTTATTTCTGTTTTCGTATTAAAGTTGAAGTGTTTTTCCTGCTGGAGTTTCCTGGTCGGACCTGGAGCAGGGCCGGTGTCAGGACGAGGCCTGAGGGGCACTAACCCCCCCCCTCCCCCTCCTTAAAATGACCAATGCCTCCTCAAAAAAATTTGGTTCACTTTCTTCCGGCATTCAATCTTTTCTAAAAATGTTCAAATAGAATCACAGAGTTTAAAATGAAACAACAGAACAAAAACTCCAATTACTTCACTTTTGTTTTTTATAAATCACAACAGAAACAAAAACTGTGGAGTCCCAAACCTGGACTTATGTTTGTGTCATTTACACATGTTTAACACACGTGTGTGTGTGTGTGTGTCTGTGTGTGTGTTTGTGTGTGTGTGTGTGTGTGTGTGTGTATGTGTGTGTGTGTGTATGTGTGTGTTTGTGTGTGTTGTGTGTGTGTTTGTGTGTGTGTGTGTGTGTGTCTGTATGTGTGTGTGTATGTGTGTGTCTGTGTATGTGTGTGTGCCTCTTTGCAGCTCTGTGTGACATGCACCCCATGAGGGCGCTCTTCCTCATCCCCAGGAATCCTCCTCCTCGACTCAAGTCCAAGAAATGGTGAGTTTTTCTGTTTATCACATAAAAAAACACAAACAAACAGTTTAGTTTTTACCTGAAATTAAAATTCAGTTTCTCCAAATAAACATCAGAGTGACAGTGATGATTCTGCAGGTTTAGACACGAGTGTAACTCCAGAACTGATCACACTGGGGGGGGTTCTACATGTGTGTGTACTGGCAGAATGTTCAGCTGTTACCATGGAAACACAAAGTTCACATGAGCAAACACCGACCGAAGAGTCTGAAAAGTCAAGAAAAATACAAAAGTGATTTTTCCAAATCATTAAATATTCTTAAAAGTGCAGAGTGTTTGTATGTTATTGTTTTGTGTGGAATGTTCCGCAGTGTGGCATTAAATCTTTCTGTTTTCATGGAGACCAAACCAGACCAGGTTCCAGGTCAGATCTGTGGAGAGGCGACGTCGCTCCTCACAGTCACAGTGTTTGTTTTTCTCCGTGTTTTTGAGCTTTAAAACCTCCTGTGATTGGACAAATGTGAAGTCGAGCTGTTTAAAGTCACACTGTGGAACATCTCCGTAGAAACAAGCATCTGAAAAGTTACACAGTGAACTTTAAATGACTCTTTTTGTCTGTGTCCAGGTCTAAAAAGTTCTTCAGCTTCATCGAGGGCTGCCTGGTGAAGAACTACACCCAGCGTCCTCCCACAGACCAGCTCCTCAAACACCCGTTCATCCGAGACCAGCCCAACGAGCGGCAGGTCCGGATCCAACTCAAGGACCACATCGACCGCACCAAGAAGAAGAGGGGCGAGAAAGGTACGCAGTACGGCTTTAATACTGCCCATGTAACCGCAGAAGAAGAAGAAGAAGAAGAAGAAGAAGAAGATCTGTGACGTTGTAGTTCTCAAGACTGGATTTTAAGGTCTTGGTCTTGTCTCGGACTCGATTGTGTTTGGACTCAGTCTTGTCTTGGACTTGATCACGTTTGGACTTGGTCTTGTTTCGGACTTGAATGAGCTTGGACTCGGTTTTGACTTGGACTTGAAGGTGCTTGGACTTGGTCTTGTCTCGGACTCGATCTCGTTTAAACTCGGTCTTGTCTCATCTCGTTGTTTGGACTCTCGTTTTGGGACCGCGTTTGGACTCGGTCTTGTTTTGGTCTCGAACTCTTTGACTCGCCTTCTTGGACTTGAAGGTGCTTGGACTTGGCCTTGTCTCAGACTCGATCTCGTTTAAACTCGATCTTGTCTTGGTCTCGAAGGCGCTTGGACTCGGTCTTGTCTCAGTCTCGAAGGCGCTTGGACTCGGTCTTGTTTCAGACTCGTTCTTGTTTGGACTCGGTCTTGTCTCAGTCTCAAAGGTGCGTGGACTCATTCTTTTCTCGGACTCAACTGCGTTTGGACTCAGTCTTGTTTCGAACTTGATCTCGTTTGAACTCGGTCTTGTCTCGGACTCATTCACGTTTGGACTCGGTCTTGTTTCGGACTCCATCTTGTTTAAACTCGGTCTTGTCTCGGTCTCGTTCTTGTTTGGACTCCTTCTTGTTTGGACTTGGTCTTGTCTCGGACTCAATTTCGTTTGGACTTGGTCTTGTTTCGGTTTCGATCTTGTCTCGGTGTCGTTCTTGTTTGGTCTCGGTCTCGTTCTCGTTTGGACTCGGTCTCGTCTCGGTCTCGTTCTCGTTTGGACTCGGTCTTGTCTCGGTCTCGTTCTCGTTTGGACTCGGTCTCGTCTCGTCTCGGTCTCGTTCTCGTTTGGACTCGGTCTCGTCTCGTCTCGGTCTTGTCTGGACTCGGTCTTGTCTCGGTCTCGTTCTCGTTTGGACTCGGTCTTGTCTTGGTCTCGGTCTTGTCTTGGACTCGGTCTTCTCGGTCTCGTCTCGGTCTCGTTCTCGTTTGGACTCGGTCTCGTCTCGTCTCGTTTGTCTCTGTCTCGGTACTCGGTCTCGTCTCGGTCTCTTCTCGTCTTGTCTCGGACTCGGTCTCGGTCTCGGTCTTCGTCTCGGTTCTTGTTTGGACTCGGTCTCGTCTCGGTCTCGTTCTCGTTTGGACTCGGTCTCGTCTCGGTCTCTTTCTCGTCTCGGACTCGGTCTCATCTCGGTCTTTCTCGGTCTCGTCTCGGTCTCATCTCTCGTTCTTGTCTTGGACTCGGTCTCGTCTCGTCTTGTCTGGACTCGGTCTTGTCTCGGTCTCGTCTCGGTCTTGTCTGGACTCGGTCTCGTCTCGGTCTTGTCTCGGTCTCGTCTCGGTCTCATCTCGTTCTTGTCTGGACTCGGTCTCGTCTCGGTCTTGTCTGGACTCGGTCTCGTCTCGGTCTCATCTCGGTCTTGTTTGGACTCGGTCTCGGTCTCGTTCTTGTCTGGACTCGGTCTTGTCTCGGTCTCATCTCGGTCTTGTCTGGACTCGGTCTCGTCTCGGTCTCATCTCGGTCTTGTCTGGACTCGGTCTCGTCTCGGTCTCATCTCGGTCTTGTTGGACTCGGTCTCGGTCTCGTTCTTGTCTGGACTCGGTCTTGTCTCGGTCTCATCTCGGTCTTGTCTGGACTCGGTCTCGTCTCGGTCTCATCTCGGTCTTGTCTGGACTCGGTCTCGTCTCGGTCTTGAAAAAGAGTAAATCTTCAGGAGGAGGTTTAACGGACCTTGTAAATGTTCCTGGTGGGATTAAAACTTTTGTCCGAATTAGAATCTGAATGACGTTTCTGCTCATGTCACAGCGACGAGAAGAAAAGGGAAGAAGAGTCACTCAAGTCCTTTTTACACTGGTGTGGGGAAGGGAAGGAACTGCATTGAAGTGCGTGGCATAAAACTGTAGCGGTAAAAAGCTGAAATGTTGAAGATTTTTGCCAAAGCAGCTCAGAAATGTGTGTGTAAGAAATGTAGATGGTGAAATATTTGACCGTCTTTTGTTCTAGAATATTTTCTGTGTGGATTTTGTGTTTTTTTTTTTTTTTTTTCTGCGTACGATTCGTTAAAAAATCAGAAAGTGTAACGTTTGTGTTTTGTTTCCTCAGATGAGACGGAGTACGAGTACAGCGGCAGCGAGGAGGAAGAGGAGGAGTCGTCTGAGCAGGAGGGAGAGCCCAGGTTCGTGTCTCCGTTTTTATTCTGAGCTTCAGTCTTCGTTTCTCGTGCGAGTGAAGTCGTTTCTGATTCTCACGGCGAACGCGCACTTCACTGTGATTGGTTAAAGCCGCCTGTCACTCACACAGAGAGGGAAACAAAGCGACCAATGAGAGGAGAGGACCCGTATCACACTCTTATCTGTGTTCTGATGTCGTTTCCTCGTCACACACACACAGAGCTGTGTGTGTGTGACGCATTTACACACACACACACACATTTACACACACACACACACACATTTACACACACACACACACACACACATTTACACACACACACACACACACACACACACATTTACACACACACATTTACACACACATTTACACACACACACACACACACACACACACACACATTTACACACACACATTTACACACACATTTACACACACACACACACACACACATTTACACACACACACACACACACACACACATTACACACACACACACACACACATTTACACACACACACACACACACACACACACACACTTTACACACACACACATTTACACACACACACACACACACATTTACACACACACACACACACACACACATTTACACACACACACACACACACACACATTTACACACACATTTACACACACTTACACACATTTACACACACACACACACACATTACACACACATTACACACACACACACACACTTACACACACATTTACACACACACTTACACACACTTACACATTTACACACACATTTACACACACACTTACACACACTTACACATTTACACACACATTTACACACACACTTACACACAGATTTACACACACACTTACACACACAATTACACACACACATTTACACAAACACTTACACACACTTACACACACATTTACACACACATTTACACACACACTTACACACACATTTACACACACTTACACAATATTTACACACACACATTTACACACACACCCCCACACACATACACACACACACATTTACACACACTTATACACACACACTTACACACACACACTTACACACACACACTTACACACACACACTTACACACACACACTTACACACACACATTTACACACACACTTACACACACACATTTACACACACTTACACACACACACACACACACACTTACACACACACACACACACATTACACACACACACACACATTTACACACACATTTACACACACACACACACACACACACACACATTTACACAGAAAAACATTCACCAGAAGTTCCACAAACCTACAGCGTGACACTTCAGACTAACGTAAAAAAAAAAGTCTACAATGTTCCACACTACGGCATTAAACTTTTCTATCCAGACCAGACCAAGTTCCAGGTCAGATCTGTGGAGAGGCGACTCCGCTCACAGTCACAGTGTCAGTTTTTCTCGGTATTTTTTGAGCTTTAAAGCCGCCTGTGATTGAATAAACGTAAAGTCGAGCTGTTTAAAGTCACACTGTGGAACATTTCAGGCAGAGCAGTGATGTTGCCATGGAAACAAGCAGGTGACGGACCCACAACCGAAAAAAAGTGACACAAAAGCAGAAACTAAAAAGCGCAAAATGATGGTTTAAGAGTCAGATCACAAATGAAGCTCGTGTGCACCTGTCCCCGTGCACCTGTCCCCCTGCACCTGTCCCCCTGCACCTGTCTCACCCGTCCCCTGTCCCCGCAGCTCCATCGTGAACGTCCCCGGGGAGTCGACGCTGAGGAGGGACTTCATCCGTCTGCAGCAGGAGAACAAGGAACGATCTGAAGCTCTGAGGAGACAACAGCTCCTCCAGGAACAACAGCTGAGAGAACAAGAGGAGTACAAGAGACAACTGCTCGCCGAGAGGCAGAAGAGGATCGAGCAGCAGAAGGAGCAGCGCAGGAGGCTCGAGGAGGTGAGGAACAGAGGAGGAGGAGAGGAGGAGGAGGAGGAGGCTCGAGGAGGTGAGGAACAGAGGAGGAGGAGGCTCGAGGAGGTGAGGAACGAAGGAGGAGGAGAGGAGGAGGAGGAGGAGGCTCGAGGAGGTGAGGAACAGAGGAGGAGGAGGCTCGAGGAGGTGAGGAGGAGAGGAAGAGAGGAGAGGAGGAGGCTCAAGGAGGTGAGGAACAGAGGAGGAGGAGGAGGAGGTGAGGAGGAGAGGAGGAGAGAAGGAGGAGAGGAGAGGAGGAGGAGGCTCGAGGAGGTGAGGAACAGAGGAGGAGAGGAGAGGAGGAGAAGGAAGGAACAGAGGAGGAGGTTCGAGGAGGTGAGGAGGAGAGGAAGAGAGGAGAGGAGGAGGCGGCTTAAGGAGGTGAGGAGGAGAGAAGGAGGAGAGGAGGAGAGGTGGAGGCTCAAGGATGTGAGAAGGAGAGGAGGAAGGAACAGAGGAGGTGAGGAGGAGGAGGGACGAGGAGAGACAGAGACAGAAGAGGATCGAGCAGCAGAAGGAGCAGAGGAGGAGGCTCGAGGAGGTGAGGAACGAAGGAGGGAGGAGAGGAGGTGGAGGCTCGAGGAGGTGAGGAACAGTGGAGGAGAGAGGAGGTGAGGAGAGGAGAGGGAGAGAGGAGAAGGCTCGAGGAGGTGAGGAGTGAAGGAGGGAGGAGGAGAGGGGGAGGAGGGAGGAGAGGAGGTGAGGAACAGAAGAGGAGGAGAGGAGGAGGAGGGAGAGGAGGAGGCTTGAGGAGGTGAGAGGAGGAGGGAAGGAGGTGAGGAGGAGGAGAGGAGGAGAGGGAGGAGAGGAGGAGAAGGAAGGAGGTGAGGAGAAGAGGAGGTGAGGAGGGAAGGTGGGAGGAGAGGAGGAGGAGGCTCGAGGAGGTGAGGAGGAGAAAAGGAGGAGGAGGAGAAAGGGGAGGGAGAGACAGAAGAAGATCAAGCAGCGGAAGGAGCAGAGGAGGAGACTCGAGGAGGTGAGAAGGAGAAGAAGGGAGGAGGAGAGGAGAGGAACAGAGGAGAGGAGGAGGCTGGAGGAGGAGAGGAGAGAGTGAAGAGGGAGAAAGGAGGAGGCTCGAGGAGGTGAGGAGAGGAGGAGGAGGTGAGATGGAGGCTGGAGGAGGTTAGGAAGAGAGGCGAGAAGGAGGAGAGGATAGAGGGAGGAGAGGAGGAGAAAGGGAGGGAGGAGAGACAGAAGAGGATCGAGCAGCAGAAGGAGGAGAGGAGGAGGTGAGAACGAGAGGAGAGGGGGAGGAGGCTCGAGGAGGTGAACAAAAGGAGGTGAGAAGGAGAGGAGGAGGCTCTAGGAGGAGAGGAGATGAGGATGAGTGGAGAGAGCAGAAGAGGAGGATTGAGGAGGTGAGGAGGGGAAGAGGAGAGAAGAGGAGGAGGCTCGAGGAGGTGAGGAAGGAAGGAGGAGGTGGTATGGAGGAGAGAAAGAAAGAGGAGAGGAAAGGTAAGGACGGAGGATCAGAGGAGGAGGCTCAAGGAAGGAAGGAAGGAAGGAGGATGAGAGGAGGAGGAGGGAGAACGGGAGAGAGGATCAGAGAGAGGAGGGGAGAAGACTGGACGAGGTTAGGAAAGGAGACGAGAAGTGAGGAGGAGGAGAGAGGGAGGGATGAGGAGGGAGAGGGAAGGAAGGAGGAAAGGAGGGATAGAGGAGGAGATGTGAGACAAAAGGAGGGAGGAGAGAAGAGGGAGTGAGGACAGAGGACAGAGGACAGAGGACAGAGGACAGAGGACAGCTGCTCAGAGACACATGGTCCCTGACAGTTTTAAACACCTCCCCTGTCAGGACCCTGTCAGGACCCTGTCAGTGTCGTGTTTGTCCAGGGCCGGTTCCAGCTCTGGGCCCCGAGGAGCAGGAGGCCGGGGCCCATTTTTGATCACAGACAGGAAGTGAACACGGGCGAACTCCCGGCTCCATCGACTCTGGCTCCAGTTCAGTTTACACTGAAAAAATATATTTTAAAAATTGTAGAAAAAAGTGAGATTTTGTGAGAAAAAGAAAAAAGTCCAAAAGAGAAAAAAGGTGAGAAAGAAAAAAGAAAAATCTGAGAAAAGAGAAATAAGTGAGAAAAGGAAAAAAGTGAGAAAGAAAAAAAAAAAAAAAACAGAAAGAAGAGAAATGTGAGAAAGAGAAAAAAAAGAAAAATGTCAAACAAAAAAAAGAAAAAAAATTAAGAAAGGAAAAAAAAAGAAAAAATCCAAAAAAGATAAAAGTGGGAAAGAAAAAAATGAAAAAAAAATTTAAAGATTTTAAAAAGTGAGAAAAAAAGAGAGAGAAATAAGAAAAAACAAAAACGTGAGAGAGAAAAAAGTGCTAAAGAAAAAAACAGAAAGAGAACGAAAAGTGTTTGTGTCAGAATCACCTGTCTGTGATCAGAGCAGTGCTGTGTGATGTCACATAGTACCTGAAATTTACACAGTTTTTATAGTTTTTGAACAATTTTGAGCAGAATGTTGATTTAGTTTGCACTAAAAATCCTGAAAAAGGAAAAAGGAAAAAGGAACTCCATATTCACAGTGTAACCGCAGAAAAAAAAAAAAAAAAAAGATTTAGTTCCACTTTTTTATTTAAATATTTCACAATTCAAATTTAAACTTTAATAATAAAAAATAATAATAATGTGACGTGACTTAAAGTTTTAAAATGTGTTTTGTTTTTGTTTCTATAGCAACAGCGACGGGAGCGAGAGATCCGACGACAACAGGAACGAGAGCAGAGACGCCGAGAGCAGGAGGAGAAGAGGAGGATGGAAGACATCGAAAGAAGACGCAAAGAAGAAGAAGAGAGGAGGAGAGTGGAGGAGGAGAAGAGGAGGGCCGACCGAGAACAGGTGAGAGAGAGAGAGAGAGAGAGAGTTAAAGTGCATTAAAGTACGTTAAAAGTGAGTTAAAGTTCTTTAAAGTGTTTTAAAGTGCGGGAAAGTGTGTTAAAGTGTGTTTAAGTGCGTTAGTGCTTTACAGTGTGCTAAAGTGTTTTCAAGTGTTTAAAAGTGCGTTAAGTGTGTGTTTAAGTGTTTTAAAGTGGGTTAAAGTGCGTTAAATTGTGTTAAAGTGTTTTAAAGTGCATTAAGTTGCATTAAAATGTGCTTAAGTGCGTTTAAGTGTGTTACAATGTGCTAAAGTGTTTTCAGGTGTTTTTAAGTGCGTTAATGTGTGCGTTAAAGTGTTTTAAAGTGTGTAACAAGTGTGTGTTTTGTGTGTCGCAGTGTGTGTTTTGTGTGTCGCAGTGTGTGTTTTGTGTATTAAAGTGTGTGTTTTATGTGTTGTGGTGTGTGTTTTTTGTGTTAAAGTGTGTGTGTTTTGTGCGTTTGACAGTGTGTGTTTTTGTGTGTGACAGTGTGTGTTTTTGTGCGTTTGACAGTGTGTGTTTTGTGCGTTTGACAGTGTGTGTTGTGTGTATTAAAGTGTGTGTGTTTTTGTGCGTTTGACAGTGTGTGTTTGTATTAAAGTGTGTGTGTTTTTGTGCGTTTGACAGTGTGTTGTGTGTTTTGGTGTGTTAAAGTGTGTGTGTTTTTGTGCGTTTGACTGTGTGTGTTGTGTGTATTAAAGTGTGTGTGTTTTTGTGCGTTTGACAGTGTGTGTTGTGTGTCTTTGTGTGTTAAAGTGTGTGTGTTTTTGTGCATTTGACTGTGTGTGTTGTGTGTATTAAAGTGTGTGTGTTTTTGTGCGTTTGACAGTGTGTGTTGTGTGTTTTTGTGTGTTAAAGTGTGTGTGTTTTTGTGCGTTTGACAGTGTGTGTTGTGTGTTTTTGTGTGTTAAAGTGTGTGTGTTTTTGTGCGTTTGACAGTGTGTGTTGTGTGTGTTAAAGTGTGTGTTTTTTGTGCGTTTGACAGTGTGTGTTGTGTGTTTTTGTGTGTTAAAGTGTGTGTGTTTTTGTGCGTTTGACAGTGTTGTGTTTGTTTTGTTGTTGTTAAGTGTGTGTGTGTTTTTGTGCGTTTGACAGTGTGTGTGTTGTGTGTTTTGTGTGTGTTGTTGTTTAAAGTGTGTGTGTTTTTGTGCGTTTGACAGTGTGTGTGTGTGTTTTGGTGTGTGTTGTGTGTTAAAGTGTGTGTGTTTTTGTGCGTTTGACAGTGTGTGTTGTGTGTTTTTGTGTGTTAAAGTGTGTGTGTTTTTGTGCGTTTGACAGTGTGTGTTGTGTGTTTTGGTGTGTGTTGTGTGTTAAAGTGTGTGTGTTTTTGTGCGTTTGACAGTGTGTGTTGTGTGTTTTTGTGTGTTAAAGTGTGTGTGTTTTTGTGCGTTTGACAGTGTGTGTTGTGTGTTTTGTGTGTTAAAGTGTGTGTGTTTTTTTGTGCGTTTGACAGTGTGTGTTGTGTGTTTTGGTGTGTGTTGTGTGTTAAAGTGTGTGTGTTTTTGTGCGTTTGACAGTGTGTGTTGTGTGTGTTTTTGTGTGTTAAAGTGTGTGTGTTTTTGTGCGTTTGACAGTGTGTGTGTTTTTGTGCGTTTGACAGTGTGTGTTGTGTGTTTTTGTGTGTTAAAGTGTGTGTTTTTGTGCGTTTGACAGTGTGTGTTGTGTGTTTTGTGTGTTAAAGTGTGTGTGTTTTTGTGCGTTTGACAGTGTGTGTGTTGTGTGTTTTGTGTGTGTTGTTGTGTGTTAAAGTGTGTGTTTTTGTGCGTTTGACAGTGTGTGTTGTGTGTGTTAAAGTGTGTGTGTTTTTGTGCGTTTGACAGTGTGTGTTGTGTGTTTTGGTGTGTGTTGTGTGTTAAAGTGTGTGTTTTTGTGCGTTTGACAGTGTGTGTTGTGTGTTTTGTGTGTAATGTGTGTGTTTTTGTGCGTTCGACAGTGTGTGTTGTGTGTTTTTGTGCGTTTGACAGTGTGTGTGTTTTTGTGCGTTCGACAGTGTGTGTTGTGTGTTTTTGTGTGTTAATGTGTGTGTTTTTGTGCGTTCGACAGGAGTACATCCGGCGACAGTTGGAGGAGGAGCAGAGGCACCTGGAGATTCTTCAGCAGCAGCTTCTCCATGAACAGGCCATGTTACTGGTGAGAAACACTGCAGGTGTAGGGAGTATTATCTGTGACATGAGAACAGGTGTAGGGAGTATTATCTGTCCCACAAGGGTGAGTTGTTGTACAGTTGTAGGGAGTATTATGTAGAGCAGATTAATATGAACATTTTAAGACTCACAGCAGCAGCTCATTTTTCAACATAAAGTGAACTGGAGCCAGAGTCGATGGAGCAGGAAGTGTAACCACGCTCACTTCCTGTTTGGAACACTGTCCTCACACTTCACATTCTCTCTCTCTTCACACTCTCTCTTTTATTTTCACACTCTCTCTCCTCTTTACTCTCTCTTCACATTCTCTCTCTTCTCTCTCTCTTCTCATTCTCTCTCTCTTCTCATTCTCTCTCTCTTCACATTCTCTCTCTCTTCACATTCTCTCTCTTCTCATTCTCTCTCTTCTCTCTCCCTTCACATTCTCTCTCTTCACATTCTCTCTCTCTTCTCATTCTCTCTCTTCTCTCTCTCTTCACATTCTCTCTCTTCTCATTCTCTCTCTTCACATTCTCTCTCTCTTCTCATTCTCTCTCTTCTCATTCTCTCTCTTCTCTCTCTCTCTTCACATTCTCTCTCTTCACATTCTCTCTCTTCATTCTCTCTCTTCACATTCTCTCTCTTCTCACTCTCTTCACATTTCTCTCTCTTCTCATTCTCTCTCTCTTCTCTCTCTCTTCACATTCTCTCTCTTCACATTCTCTCTCTTCATTCTCTCTCTTTCACATTCTCTCTCTTCTCACTCTCTTCACATTCTCTCTCTTCTCATTCTCTCTCTTCACACTCTCTCTCTCCTCTTTACTCTCCCTCCACATTCTCTCTCCTCTTTACTCTCTCTCTCTTCACATTCTCTCTCTCCTCTTTACTCTCTCTTCACACACTCTCTCTCTTCACAGTCTCTCTCTCTTCACATGCTCTCTCTCCTCTTTACTCTCTCTCTTCACACACTCTCTCTTCACATTCTCTCTCTTCTCTTCACTCTCTCTCTTCACACACTCTCTCTTACTCTCTCTCTCTATTCATTCTCTCTCTCTTTCTCTCTCTTTCCTCTTGCTCTGTTTTTTTATGTGTGAGTTGTTGTTGTGTTCTCTCTCTCTTCACTCTCTTTCTCTCTCTTCACTCTCTCTCTCTCTCTCCCTCCGTGACAGTTCCGATACCGATACCGATCCGGTGAACTTCTGAACTGAATCAGATCTCGAATCCTCCGGGAACAAACGCGATCGTGAAGTTAAATTACGTCAGAGTCGTTCTGCTCGTCTTCTGTCACTTTCTGAACGCCTGTTGTTGTTTCCATGACGACGTTATCGATATTATCGCTTTGCCCAGAATTCTCCACGGTGCGGCATTAAAACGTCACGTCTCCATGGGGACTCGCGGTTATCAGGGTGAGTTATTTTCGCACCGGATCTGCGGAGAGCGAGGAGGTGTCTCCAGAAATACCTTAAACAACGTGGATTTTTATTTGGAACGGGGTCGGCTCTCCACAGATCTGCTGGTCTCCATGGCGATGGTTGAGTTTAATGCCGCACTGTGTAACTTTCTGGGCCAAACCGTGACACTTTCGCAGAGACGAGCGAGCGTCGTCGTAGTTCTGAGGTTTTAAGACGGAGTTTAGTCTTGAAGGAGGCGAGTGACGTGACGGTGGAGTCATGGTCTGAGTATGTTCCTCAGGAGTACAAGTGGAAGGAGCTGGAGGAGCAGAGACAGGCTCAGGAGCTCCACAAGCAGCTCCAGAGGGAACAGGCCTATCTGCTGGCCCTGCAGTCCAGCCACAACCTGCAGGACCACCCCAGCCTCAAGAAGAACCACCACGAGGTCCAGGATCACCCCAGCCTCAAGAAGAACCACCACGAGGTCCAGGATCACCCCAGCCTCAAGAAGAACCACCACGAGGTCCAGGATCACCCCAGCCTCAAGAAGAACCACCACGAGGTCCAGGATCACCCCAGCCTCAAGAAGAACCACCAACTCCAGGTCCAGGACAACCCCACCCTCAAGAAGAACCACCTCCATGACCACCCCAGCCTCAAGAAGAACCGCCTCCTGGACAACTACAGCCTGAAGAGGTCCGGAATCTTCAACCACAAGTCCAAAGTCCAGACCAGAGACCAGAGTCCTGATTTCTACCACGAGAAGGTCAAGATCCAGCCCAGAAAACTGAGTCTGCAGATCCAAATAGACGAGTCCAGAGTCCAGATGAGAGATCAGAGTCCCGAAGTCCACAGTGAGAGGACCAAGATTCAGACAAGAGACCAGAGTCCTCAGGTGCTCCACGAGAACATTAAGGTCCAGACGAGGGACCAAAGTCCTGACGTCCACCGTGACAAGTCCAAGGTCCAGACCAGAGACCAGAGTCCTGAGAGTTCTGAGGTCCACACCCAGAATGCTTCTCTGGACCTTCTCCCCAGTCGAACCCTTCTGGACCTTCTCCCCAGTCGGACCGTTCCCGTCCAGGACCCGAGCCTGGTTCCCGAGCCGTTCCTTGAGGTGACTGCTCCCCCTGCTGGACGCTCTGGCCGCTGCTTGTGTGGATTCTCTGGGTTTCTGGGTTCTCTGCATGAAGGGGGCTGCTGTGGCTGAGAAAATAATAACCGATAACTGATTAATAACCATAATCTTTGAGGTTTTGGGTGTTTTTTCCTGTGTTTAACCATCTGAAGGAATGTTTTTTGTGGCGTTGGTGCTGCAGAAGCTTCACTAACGATCTCACGGTGTCTGTGGAACCTCTGGAGTCGTGATAACGTGTCACTGAAAGGTTCATTTGACGCATTTTCTGACGCGTTCGAATGTTTCCTCGTCCCGCACAGACCTGGAGTTGTGTTTTATGTTTCATTCGCGCATTTTTTAAAACGTAAACCAAAACGTTTAGACTTCGTAGTTCTTCTCCAAATCATCTCCAAATCTTCAACCAAAAAGTTCCACAAAGGATAAACATTCTTCATGAACAATTTATCCACAAAGATCAAGAGAAGATAGACCAAAACACTGCTAAAAAACTTGGCCAAAATGTAAAATCTAAACACTTAAATCTGTCAAAAAATGATTTAAAAGATCATTTTACTGGACAAGTTCTCTTCAAATAATCGACTTTAGAAGAGAATTCTTCGTCTGTGCTCAGAGTTCACGGGCTGGAAAGACGTTTATGAGGCTCAGTTTGAGATAAACAAACTTAAACCAGTTTAAGATCAGAGTTCATGATCATCTTTGAATTTCTTCTCAGTCCAATTCTAGACAGAAGTTCTTAAATCAGTCGTACGTGTTTGTAGTTCGTCGTCAGTCTTGTATCAAGTAAATCATGAAGAGTTTCAGGTAAAACTCCGGTAAATGGATTGTAGCTTCTTCTTTTAAACATTTATTGACTAAATTTAAGATTTAAGATGAGTCGAGTCATGGAAGAAAAATATGTGACACTTTTTAAGATTCAGAACCAGTGAGTAGAAAATAAATCAACATGAAAACAAGAAGAAAAACCCGATAGAAGTTTTAAAATCTTGCAAAACAAAAGAAAAACATTGACCCGAAGTTCCACAAACGTCGTCCTTATGGGTTTGTACATTTGTGTTTAAAGTGCACGAACGTGAAAAAATCGGACGCACGGATACGGCTCAATATCGAAATCACGATCAAAATTCTAAACATCTCTGCGCTGGGGTGCGCTACGTGTATCTCCATGGTGGAATGGTCAGCGGCTTCCATGGAGACGCAGCGCTCACGTTAACGGGCGAAAAAAAAGTTTAAAATTGTCCAAAAAACAAAAATCAAGACAAAAAAAAACCCAAACACAAAAGTGCTTTAAAGAGCTTGAAAACCACCGCTTGATGACATCACGAGGTGGAACAGAGCGTTTTGAGCGTTGGAGATAAAGACACGATGAAACAAACACAACTCCAGGTCGGTTTTTTGAGGAGGAAACGTTAGAACACGACCTGAAGTTCTCAGGAGTCAGTTTTGTGAACTATGGAACCTTTAACTAAAAACGTCTGAAAACACAAACGCGGGACACAGACTCTGAGGTGATTTTGGCAGATCTGAGAAACTTAAATCTGTAAATATATAAATGTTTAATTTTAACGTCAGGAAGAATTTAATGAAAGTAGAAAACGACAACGAAATGTCAAGACGAGAGTTTAGTCCTGGTTTAGACCTGGTTTAATTTTGGTTTAGTTCTGATTTAGTCCTGGTTTAGTCCTGGTTTAGACCTGGTTTAGTTCTGGTTTAGTCCTGGTTTAATTTTGGTTTAGTTCTGATTTAGTCCTGGTTTAGTTCTGGTTTAGTCCTGATTTAGTCCTGGTTCAGTTCTGGTTTAGTCCTGGTTTAGTCCTGGTTTAGACCTGGTTTAGTCCTGGTTTAGTTCTCTTAAAGTCCTGGTTTAGTCCTGGTTTAGACCTGGTTTAGTCCTGGTTTAGTTCTCTTAAAGTCCTGGTTTAGACCTGGTTTAGTCCTGGTTTAGTTCTCTTAAAGTCCTGGTTTAGTCCTGGTTTAGTCCTGGTTTAGACCTGGTTTAGTCCTGGTTTAGTCCTGGTTTAGTTCTGGTTTAGTCCTGGTTTAGTCCTGGTTCAGTCCTGGTTCAGTCCTGGTTTAGTCCTGGTTTAGACCTGGTTTAGTCCTGGTTCAGTCCTGGTTTAGTCCTGGTTTAGTTCCTGGTTTAGTCCTGGTTTAGTCCTGGTTTAGTTCTGGTTTAGTCCTGGTTTAGTCCTGGTTTAGTCCTGGTTTAGTCCTGGTTTAGTTCCTGGTTTAGTCCTGGTTTTAGTCCTGGTTTAGTCCTGGGTTGGTTCTGGTTTAGACCTGGTTTAGTCCTGGTTTAGTCCTGGTTTAGTCCTGGTTTAGTTCTGGTTTAGTCCTGGTTTAGTTCTGGTTTAGTCCTGGTTTAGTCCTGGTTTAGTCCTGGTTTAGTCCTGGTTTAGTCCTGGTTTAGTCCTGGTTTAGACCTGGTTTAGACCTGGTTTAGTCCTGGTTTTAGACCTGGTTTTAGACCTGGTTTAGTCCTGGTTTAGACCTGGTTTAGTCCTGGTTTAGTCCTGGTTTAGTTCCTGGTTTAGTTCTGGTTTTAGTTCTGGTTTAGTCCTGGTTTAGTCCTGGTTTAGTTCCTGGTTTAGTCCTGGTTTAGACCTGGTTTAGTTCCTGGTTTAGACCTGGTTTAGTCCTGGTTTAGACCTGGTTTAGTCTTGGTTTTGTCATGGTTTAGACCTGGTTTAGTCCTCTGGTTTAGTCCTGGTTTAGACCTGGTTTAGTCTTGGTTTTGTCATGGTTTAGTCCTGATTTAGACCTGATTTAGACCTGGTTTAGTCCTGGTTTAGACCTGGTTTTAGTCTGGGTTTACTCCTGGTTTAGTCCTGATTTAGTCCTGGTTTAGCCTGGTATAATCCTGGTTTAGCCCTGGTTTAGACCTGGTTTAGTCCTGGTTTAGTCCTGGTTTAGACCTGATTTAGACCTGGTTTAGACGGTTTAGTCCTGGTTTAGACCTGGTTTAGTCCTGGTTTTAGACCTGGTTTAGTCCTGGTTTAGACCTGGTTTAGACCTGGTTTAGACCTGGTTTAGACCTGGTTTAGTCCTGGTTTAGACCTGGTTTAGTCCTGGTTTAGACCTGGTTTAGTCCTGGTTTAGTCCTGGTTTAGTCTTGGTTTAGTTCTGGTTTAGTCCTGGTTTAGTCCTGGTTTAGTCCTGGTTTAGTCCTGGTTTAGTCCTGGTTTAGACCTGGTTTAGTCCTGGTTTAGACCTGGTTTAGTCCTGGTTTAGTTTCTGGTTTAGTCCTGGTTTAGACCTGGTTTAGTCCTGGTTTAGTCCTGGTTTAGACCTGGTTTAGTCCTGGTTTAGACCTGGTTTAGTTCTGGTTTAGTCCTGGTTTAGACCTGGTTTAGATCTGCTGTGATCTCAGAGCTCTGCGTTCGTGTGAAGTTGTATTATTTTCGTCTCTTTTTTGGTGTCGTTCTTAACCGTCTCGTGTGCGTCTGTGTCAGGCCGACGAGCGATACCGGAAGAACGCCCAGGGCTCCCCGCAGGCGGCGCCGCCCAAACCCGCCCAGCCCCCGGCGCCGCCCACCCGCTCCGAGTCCACCCACGCCAACGGGAACGCCGCCTCAGACGCCCAGGCCCAGAACCGAGCCGGAGAGCCACAGGTGAGCCACCGGAGCCGCACGCGTTCTGACGCCGCAAACACGGAAAAACTCTCAAGTGTTTTTGATGCTTTTTGGATCCAGGTTGTGGTTTTCAGGTTGTGGGAGGAGTTTGTTTACATGTGCTGCTCGTGTCCCGGGTCTGAGTGTTCGTGTAAACGCAGGTTCCTGGTTTCAGTCTCATGTCCCGTTTAGAAGAAACCAGGAAACTGTCCCCAAAGTCTCACGGGAGTTAAGACGTTTTCGATACCAGACTTGGGCTTCGTTTACTCTGAAACAAATCACCGTATCGGAAACGATTTGCGTCCAGATTCGTCGTTTCTGTGTCTGTTTCCTCCACACGACTTTGACACATTTGTTTATGTTTTACAGAAACAAAACTTAAAACCACATGACTCATTTACATAAACTAAAGGACACAGTGACTCAGTGGAATATGAGTGTTCTCTCTGTGACAGAGGGGTGTTCTCTCTGTGACAGAGGGGTGTTCTCTCTGTGACAGAGGGGTGTTCTCTCTGTGTCAGAGGGGTGTTCTCTCTGTGACAGAGGGGTGTTCTCTCTGTGTCAGAGGGGTGTTCTCTCTGTGACAGAGGGGTGTTCTCTCTGAGAGGGGTGTTCTCTCTGTGTGTCAGAGGGGTGTTCTCTCTCTGTGACAGAGGGGTGTTCTCTCTGTGTGACAGAGGGGTGTTCTCTCTGTGACAGAGGGGTGTTCTCTCTGTGTGTCAGAGGGGTGTTCTCTCTGTGACAGAGGGTGTTCTCTCTGTGTCAGAGGGGTGTTCTCTCTGTGTGACAGAGGGGTGTTCTCTCTGTGTGACAGAGGGGTGTTCTCTCTGTGTCAGAGGGGTGTTCTCTCTGTGTGACAGAGGGGTGTTCTCTCTGTGACAGAGGGGTGTTCTCTCTGTGTGTCAGAGGGGTGTTCTCTCTGTGACAGAGGGGTGTTCTCTCTGTGACAGAGGGGTGTTCTCTCTGTGACAGAGGGGTGTTCTCTCTGTGTGTCAGAGGGGTGTTCTCTCTGTGACAGAGGGTGTTCTCTCTGTGTCAGAGGGGTGTTCTCTCTGTGTCAGAGGGGTGTTCTCTCTGTGTCAGAGGGGTGTTCTCTCTGTGTGACAGAGGGTGTTCTCTCTGTGACAGAGGGGTGTTCTCTCTGTGTGACAGAGGGTGTTCTCTCTGTGTGACAGAGGGGTGTTCTCTCTGTGTCAGAGGGGTTTCTCTCTGTGACAGAGGGGTGTTCTCTCTGTGACAGAGGGTGTTCTCTCTGTGTCACAGAGGGGTGTTCTCTCTGTGTCAGAGGGGTGTTCTCTCTGTGACAGAGGGGTTCTCTCTGTGTGACAGAGGGGTGTTCTCTCTGTTCTCTCTGTGTGTCAGAGGGGTGTTCTCTCTGTGTCAGAGGGGTGTTCTCTCTGTGTCAGAGGGGTGTTCTCTCTGTGTCAGAGGGGTGTTCTCTCTGTGTGAGCAGAGGGGTGTTCTCTCTGTGACAGAGGGGTGTTCTCTCTGTGTCAGAGGGTGTTCTCTCTGTGACAGAGGGGTGTTCTCTCTGTGACAGAGGGGTGTTCTCTCTGTGTCAGAGGGGTGTTCTCTCTGTTTCAGAGGGTGTTTCTCTCTGTGACAGAGGGGTGTTCTCTCTGTGACAGAGGGGTGTTCTCTCTGTGTCAGAGGGGTGTTCTCTCTGTGACAGAGGGGTGTTCTCTCTGTGTGACAGAGGGGTGTTCTCTCTGTGTCAGAGGGGTGTTCTCTCTGTTTATATGTCGTAAAGTTGAATTTATTGATGCAGATTAGTGCAGATAGTAATAATAATAATAATCAATCGTTAATTCTCCTGACGATCGATTAAGAACATTTAATCAAATGCTCGTCTCTAGTCACACTGTCCCCGTCACATCTGGACCAACATGAGTTTGTGGAGCTGGAGGCACCAGATCGTTCAGACTCTGGAGCCGTTTTCCATCAGATTAATGTGAACGACACTGTACACACAACCAAAACGATTCGAATACGTAGTCGTGTGAACGGGGCCTTGGGGACTTGCAAACCGTGACTTGGACTCGAGTCAGACTTGAGTCCCTACGGCTACGTTCAGTCTGCAGCCTGATTTCTCGTCCCTCTGCTCCTGTGTCTGATCTTTCAGTGACGTCTGAACCACACAGATCTGATTTCCTTCAAATGTGACTTGGATCTGTGCTCCTAAAACCCAAACACATCTGATCTTTTGACATGTGACTTCAGTCTGAACGTCCAGGTCACATTTATCCACCTACACGTGTCACAAATGTTCACAAACGTTCTTCTCGTCAGACGAAGCAGCGACGCGCAGATCCGTTCCAAACACGTTTCTTTCTACGGCCAAAAACCTCGTCCTTCTTCTTCTCAATTTCCTCCTTAAAACAAAGAATCTGGACATGTTCTTGACTCCCAGGTGACCGGGATAAGACTCATAACCGGGATAAGACTCATAACCGGGATAAGACTCATAACCGGGATAAGACTCATAACCGGGACACTGATGCGCATGTAAACGCTCTGGCTCCTATTGATCACTTTGTCCTTTAAACTCACCAATGTTCAACCTGGAATTTTCAAATATCGTCTAAACCCTGGAGCTGTTTCTATTACATCATTTTGCATTTTAACCATTTTAATTTCAGGTTCCCTCCGTCTGTTTTACTTAATATCGTCCTGAAACCAGCTGTTTATGGGTTTCTATGTTTGTTCTACTCAACATTTTGAAGATTTTTCTCCATCCAAGAGATAAAATATTGAGTTTGAATGATTAGTAGCAAAGGCAACGGTTCTAGTTTTGGTTTCTCTTTGTGTTTTGCCGTGAAATATAAAGATCTGTCTTCCTTTTAGCTGCGTAAGTTTTCTTGGCTGATCTCACCGTTTAAGTCTGTTTTCAGGTCTTTTTTCAAGTTTGTTTTCAGGTTTTTTTCAGGTTTGTTTTCAGGTTCTCAGCTCTTCTGAAGGCTGCAGATTGTTTGTAATGTGAAGGGTTGAGAATCAAACTTCAGGACCCCGAGAGTAAAATCAGAGTAAACGATAACGTTGTTTTCAAATGAACTCAAACTGGAACGAGCTTTGGCGAAACGGTGGAAAACGCAAGGTGTCCCCAAAAATTTGACGTCATTTCGCAGCCCAATAATAACCTCACATTTTCGCAGAATGTACAGAAGCGGGTCAAGATGTTTTCAAGTTGAGCCACATCGTTTATTTCCAAAGAGAAGCGATTTTGCATCTTGGAATCTCCTCGCACACTCGCCCATGACTGATAATGCAAAATTTGGAAAAACTTCAAGTACCGGCAAAACAAATTTGGACTTGGTACCAAAAATTTAAAGAAAAATGTAAAACTGTTTGCAGGACTAAAGAATCTGGTACCAACATCAACATCATCATTGAGTTAGACTTCGTAGTTTTCAAGATAATTGCTTTTAAATTACGTCAATTTTTAGGGGCACCCTGTATAATCTGGAGTAACTGTTGTAAAAAAAGCCAGACCTGAACAAAAAATTAATAAAATCACAAAAATAATACACAAAATACAATATAAAATGATTCAAAAAAATATATGGGTCACTGACGTTTAAGGATTTTCAACAGACAAACTTTAAAATATAAATAAAAAAATGTTTCTATTGAACTTTTTCAAATATTTACAATGTCAGGTCTGCATAAATCCAAGTTTAACATTTATATTCAGCATTTTTAAGTGTTTTTTTATGGACATGAATTTCCTCTGACCTTAAAAAATGTCACGTGGTGCGACCGAGAATAACCTTAAAGGTTGTATAGAGGATTTTTTTAAGGAAAGACAAATCCAGCGACCGTCCTTGAACCACCTTCCTCCTCCACAGCCTCGAGAAATAATTTAGAGACCGACACCTCAGTTTTTAGACCCTTCGTCTGCTTCAGTCGCGCCATCGCTGGAAGGAATCTCCAAGAATCACCTCAGTTTGTCTTCGCTCCTTTTCTCCTTCTCTTCTTCTTTCATCGACCTCAAAAACCGACTTTCTTTTGCGGCGAACTGGTCGTCGATTCTCGTCCGACATCGCGACAAACTTTATGCGAACTGCGAGAGCCACAATTAGAAAAAGCCTCTAAGACCCGCTGCATAGTTACCTTAGAAACGTAGGGAGTTTGACTGACAACCTAACAGCCAATAGAAAATGAGGGAGCCTCGTTTTCTATTGGCTGATGTTTATCTGGCCTCAACACGTCCACAGTTGATAGATTTTCTTTCTTTTTTTTTGGTCATCATAATTACAAAGCTGCATACAACCTTTAAATTGTTTTATTTTCTAAAACATGATGTTACGTAATATTAATCTAAGTTCTGAGTGATATAAAGTGTATAGAAACAAATTGTTGGTATTTCTTTTGATTTTAAAGCAAATTTGAACCAAGAAATTGCAGTTGGACAAAAAATGTAGGCGTCGTGTCCCTGACCCACATATAAAAAGTGTAATATACAGTAGGTCAATTTAAATTTTCTGGTAATTTTATATTGAAAACGATGATTGTGATTCAATTAACAAACAGAATTATTCAAAAATATAAATTCTTGATGTGTAATAATTAACCAGATCTAAAATATATATTAAACGTGCACTGTGGAACTTTTTGGTTGGTTTATTTAATCTGTGTCGTTCGGTCATTTGTTTTTCAAAATAAAACCAAAATAAGAAAACGAAATTAAACTGCGATCCTGGACTTTCTAAGGACTGAACCAGGACTAAAACAGTCTCAGTCCTGGTCCTCAATCCGGACCGGTCTCAGTCCTGGTTTAGTCCTGGTTTAATCCCTGGGTTTAGTTCTGTTTTAGTTCTGTTTTAGTCCTGGTTCAGTACTGGTTTAGACCTGGTTTAGTCCTGGTTTAGTCCTGGTTTAGTCCTGGTTTAGTCCTGGTTTAGTCCTGGTTTAGACCTGGTTTAGTCCTGGTTTAGTCCTGGTTTAGTCCTGGTTTAATCCTGGTTTAGTCCTGGTTTAGACCTGGTTCAGTCCTGGTTTAA